TCTGAAGGGAGATAAAACCCTTCCTCAGAGAGCCCAAATCTAAGGGAAACACAGCTCTCATTTCAGGGAACCCCAAGCTGAGAGGAGAGACTGCTTTACCTCAGGGAGCTTCACTGTGAGGTAAACTCAGCCCTGCTTTCCAAGAGTCACAGACTAGTGGAGTATATTGTTCNGGGAGCTTCACTGTGAGGTAAACTCAGCCCTGCTTTCCAAGAGTCACAGACTAGTGGGATATATTACCTCAGGGAGCTTCACTGTGAGGTAAACTGAGCCCTGCTTTCCAAGAGTCACAGACTAGTGGAGTATATAGTTCTGCCTCTGGGAGGGCAAATCTGAGGGTTAAAACAGCCTTGCCTTCAGGGTGCCCCATTCTGAGTGGAGATACAGCTCTTCCTCCGAGAGCCCAGAATTGAGGGAAACACACACCTACCCTCAGGGAACCACAAGCTGAGGAAACACAGCCCTGCTCTCAAAGAGCCACAGTCTGAGGGGGAGATACAGCCCTGCTTCCAAAATCCTAAGTCTGAGGGGAGCAGCTCTTCTTCAAGAAGCCCCAGTCTGAGGGAAGATGCAATAGTGCCTCAGGGAGCTTCAGTCTGAGGAAACACAGCTCTGCCCTTGAGGAGACACGGAGAGGGGGAGATATAGCGTTCCCCCACAGGGGTCACTTGCTGCTCTCATTCTTTCACTGCCTTCACAGAGGTTCAACCGTTACTGCGGGAACTAAGATCCTGCCAGTCACGAGGCACTTGACCAAAAGAAAATACCACCAAGACATCTTCCAGCCCACTGTGATAACAGAAAGAGCCCTGCCTCAGGGAACCACTCTCAGCCACACAGCACTTGGACTTACCTGGTGGCCCAGTGGTTAAGAATCCTCCTGCCAACGCAGGGGACACAGGAAGATCTCATGTGCCAGTGTGCCACAAGTACCGAGCGCCCCGGCCCAGGTCCCTCCCGCTAGAGCCGCTCCGTGATGAGAGGCCGGTGCTGCTCCTCAAGGGAAAGTAGCAGGCCAGCTCTCTGCAGCTAGAGAAAGCCTGAGCCCAGCAACAAAGACTTAACACAGCCAAAATAGTAATAATAATAATAAATAAATTAGTTAATTAAATTAGTTAATTAAAACAAGAACACAGGACAGTCTGAGGGAGAGACATAACCCTGTTTCAGAGTGCCTCACTATGAGGAAAAACAGCGCTGCTCTTGAAGAGCCAGTCTGAGGAGATATAGCCCTGCCTCAGCAACTCTAAGTCTGAGGGGAGCAGCTGTTTGTCAGGAAGCCCTGGTCTGAGGGAAGATACCGCCCTGCCTTAGAAAGTTTCAGTCTGAGGAAACACAGCTCTGCCCTTGAGGAGACACAGGAAGGGGGAGATACAGTGTCCCCTCGGGGTCACTCGCTGCTTTCACTCTTTCACTGCCCTCACGGGGGTTCAACCGGTAGTGCGGGAACTAAGATCCCGAAAGATGCGAGGGGCATAGTCAAAAGAAAACAAAAAACCTGCCAAGACTGCTGGGACCCCAGTGTGATAACAGAAACAGTCCTGCCTCTGGAAACCACTCAGTCACACAGCTCTTGGACTTCCTGGTAGTCCAATGGTTAAGAAGCCACCTGCCAATTCAGGAGACACAGATCTCACTGTCAGGCGCCACAAGTACTGAGCGTCACTCCCCTCCCTACCCCAGAATCACAGCTCCGCTATGGGAAGCCTCATGTCCGCAACAGTGAGTAGTACCCCCGATCTCTGCAACTAGAGAAAGCCCCAGCAACAAAGACCCAGTGCAGCCAACATCATAATAATAATAAATAAATTAGTTAATTATTTTTTAAAAAGAAGAAAAATCAGCACAGTCTGAGGAGAGACACAGCCTTGTTTCAGGGTGCTTCCTATGAGGAAAACAGAAACACAGCCCTGTTCTTGAAGAGCCACAGTCTGAGGGCAAGATACAGCCCTGCCTCAGAGAGCTCGCTCTGAAGAAATACAACCCTGTCCTTGAGAACCATAGGGGGCAGGAGATAACAACCTTCCTTCAGGGAACCAGAAAATAAGGGGAGACACAGCCCTCCCTTAGGGAGCCCCAGTCTGAGGGAAGGCACAGGGCAAGGCAGAATTCAACAGGGTTTTCTAGGGGCAGGCAGCCGCAGCACTGGGGGCCATTGGTAGCAGAGACTCACAAGTGCAGGTCAACATTTAGCTTATTCAGAAGAGAAAAGTCAGAGAGGTGTTTTCTCCCAAGCCCTCCAGTACATAAACCCTTGGTCTTCTCAGAGACTTCTGTTTGTCACCTGTGACAATAAGTAGACTAGCAGAATAACAGCAACAGCATGCATGTGACTCCTCACGCTCCTGGTTGCCTAACTTCCAGCCACCGGTGTTCATCACCCTTGGGTCACTAGTCTGTGGGAAGCTATTGCCTTCTGTGCTCAGCTGTATGAGTGGCTGACCCACCACAGAAATGGTTGTTTGGCTCGGGAACTGGGTAGGAAGATCCCTTCATTTGCATCAGCTGATGCCCAATCTCTGGCCCCCTCTGAGGCTGCTGTCAAGGCCAGAATTCTGACCAGCAGATTACACAGGGGTGAAGACAAGGGGCTTAGCCAGGTGTCAAATCCCTGGGACTTTAAAAACATGTAGTGTGGTACTTCTCAACCCTTAATGGTGAAGGATCAGTTTGGTTGGTTTTATTTTTCAAACTGATCTGTCATGGGCCAATATTTTTGTAACATGCAATAATGATAAGTTACAGAAAAAAATAAAATTAAAGAATCCAAAATGCAAGACCAACTTCTTAATTACTAGACTCAACAGACATTAAATTGCATTTCTAAAGTACATTACATGCACTCAATGGAACTTAGCATTTTTACTAATTTGGAATTGTTTTTCATTTCAGTTTTCCTCCACTCAAATCTGGAAACCATGAGCTGCTCACTAATTAGAGGTAACCATAGTTACCAACTTGTCTTCAAAATACATTTAAGAGTTCCTTTTTTTCCTTGAGTTTAATTCTACAAAAAGAATTTGTCAGTGGCTCTTGTTCCCTTTTCAGTTTCATTGAGTGATTTTCCAAACCCTAGAGCCTTTTGGCAGTCATATTAAAAGTTCCAATATTAAGATTTAAAGAAATCACCCATTCTTAGAATAAACAGTCTGGGGCTCTGAATTATCCAGTTTTGGAAACTTCAACTGACTGGGAGGGTTAATCAGCAGGTTGGCAAAGAAGTGGGCCTGAATTCTGCAGATTTCAGTGCGACTCTCTACAGAGAGGAGCTGGCAACCATAGGAGTGGTTTCTTTAAAAAACTGTCCACTTGAGGGCATTGTCATCCTCTGTAGGGGAGGAATGGATGCCCATTTCTTCAGTTAACTAAGTTACTAAGTATAAAGAAATTCACTGACACCTGATTTGCTGCCGTGGTGATTAGATGTCCCTTTGAGACTGGCTCCAAGGGCAGCTGCCCAGCTGTCCTGCCCCTTAATTCAGCCAGTTCTGCTGCTCTGTTCTCTCCCAGCCTTTGAATATTATTAGTATCTGCCATAATTCCTGAAGCACTGTACTGTGATTTTGTAAATCTCCCACTGGAGCTCTTGGTTGCTGTACCTGCCACATCAGCATAGTGCCTGACATACAGGTGTGCTTCCATACATGTTGTTGGGCCAGTGAAGGGCTTATAACAGTATACACAAGGTGATAAAGAGAGCAGTTGAATCCTTTCCAGAATGGAACTTGGAAAAAGATCAAACAATGTGAGTCACTCTGGCTACAGTCCAGAAGTGTTAGGGCAGGAAAGGCTTGAACTCTTGCCAATTCTCACTGTTTCTATGTGCCCAGACCAGCATATGAGCCATGGGAACGAAAAGGTAGGAAAGTTGCTAGTCTTGGAGTTTGATTAGATATAATATCCCACTTGTCAGTAACTCTTGTGCTGTCTTGAGATTTTTCCAAACCAGAAGGCTCTTGGAAATTATAGTAAAATATTCAGAATTAAGATAAAAAAAATAAGGCACCCAATCTTAGAGAATACCCTGATGGTGTGAGTGACTGGGTTTTTAAATTTCATCACATCTTGAGACAATATTTCATCAAGATCCTAGAGTTCCATAGAAACTACCAGGTACTGGTGGGCAAAGAGGATGTAGGAGCAGGCCTGGAAGACTGTGTGTGGAACTTTTCTTGAACTTAACATAGCCTAGGACTAAAAGTGCAGTCTGGGGCACAGCAAACCCATGTCCAGGAGATATCCCTTAGTTCTGGCTCAAGGAATAAAAAAGGGAATTCCTAATGGCCAGAGAGCATAAATATTCCATTTTTCTTTTCTTCTCTTTCATGCCACAGCCCCCTGGCAAACACACAGCCACAGTGGTAACAGTCAGTCATGAGCCAAGGAAACTGGCTCTTGGATCGGAGGAGTTATGCTCTCAAGAGGGTCTCATCAACCCCTATTGCTTTTTTCCACTCACAGTTCTTCCATTACTCAGACTTGAACGTGGGCCCAAATATGAGAGTGTGTGGTAGAACAGGATAACCAGAGCCAAGTTTTTGGGTGGAGGACCAAAAAGGAGAGTCCCAGGTAACTGGAAAGTTCTGGGGAGATTGTAGAGAGAGGGAGAGTAACTCAGGAAGGTAACCCCATATAGTTGTTAATGAACTCCAGGCCTTAACCCCAAGCCATGCATGCTTGGATCTGGTCCTACTTGGCATATCAAAGACTGAGAACTAAAGTAACACATAGACTGTCACTGGGTGGTGTCCAACTGATATGGAACCAAAATGCAGTGTTCCTTGTAAAGTAAATTGACTACCTTCTTTCCAATGTCTGTCTCCTTTGGGGCTTCATGTCCTATTGCATCAGGCCACCTGGGCCTTTGCTGGATAAAACCCAGGTCCCTTTTCTCTGATCATCGACTGTAGGGATTCATCCTTGGGTCCCAAACGTCAGGAATCCCTCCTTGAACTTTCTGAAGACTAAAGGACCTTTTGCCATTTGTAGACACAGAGAAAGAGGGACAGAAGAAAATCACTTTAATAGCATTGTAACACATTAGGACTGGGGATCACAGATAAGGAAAACATTTTGTTGTCTTTTTGTACATTTCTGCCAAGGTGCAAAGTTGTGTTGGACAATGATACAGACAGATTTTTCACATTGAAAACTTAATAAATAGATACTTTAAATGTCAGACATCAGAGACGAGTGATGCGTGTGATTGTTTTCTTATTCTGCCTCCTTTGAGTCAGGAGGTTGCTTCCTATCACACTGCTGAAGGCCAGGTCTTCTAGGAGGTGTATTCAAACTCCTCAGCACTGCGCCGGCCAAAATCCATCCAGCCCATGTAGTCCCGGTCACTTATCCTGTGGCTCGGGTCCAGGCTCTGCAGGTTCTTGATCACAGACATTCGGCCAGAAGGAGCTAGTGGCAGAGAGGAAGGAAACAGGATAATTCTATCTAAGAGCATCACTAGTTCCTATTGTAAAGGCAAATAATAGAAAAGGCCAGGCAAGATGTAACATACACCCTCTTCAATGTATCAAAGAGATGTCAAGAGAGTAAGACTGCTGGGCCAAAACCTAAGAGAAAAGAAAGAACCATGTCTACGTAACTGGAGAGAGGGTAGTATTTTCTAGTCGTGGGTGTAGTTTGCAATCTGTAAGAGTTTAGGTGAATTAATTTATTCTTGCCTTTCATAGCTGAGACCTGCCTAGGTTTTCCTACTCCTCAGGGTGTTTTCCCTTATGTAGCAGGATCTCCCCAGTAGTACCCATTTCTAAAGTTTTCCCCTTAAGGGGCTTTCCTGGTGGTCAAGTGGTTCAGGCTCCATGCTCTCAAGGTAGGGGGCATGGTTCATTCTCTGGATGGGGAACTAAGATCCTACAGGGCAAAAAAAAAAAAAAATTTACCCATTTATATCCCTGAGCCGACCTGACTCTTGTCAAGGTAATGTGATGACAATATTTTGATGTTAGAATGGCTTTTCTAAAATGGAATCCAATTTCACTGTTAGATAAACGCTGTTTTAAAATTATTAATTTGAAAGCAACCTTCTTTTTCTAAAAAAAAAAAAAGGAAAACGATATTGAGAAAAAGGCACACTGGCAGATTAAAATCTTAGCATCTCAGCAACACTCAAAGAAGGGTGGGCAGAACAGAGGTAGTTTAGTTCAGCCATTTTGACCAACATGCAATCATTGAACCTGAAATGGGCCCATGGGCATGGGAGTTGAGTCCTTCGGAACAGGATGAGTCCAGGTATGATTCATGTTGAGTGGGCAGGGCCATGATGAGGCATGTGAGTGTTCTGGCCCACAGATCATAGACACTGGCATCCTGGGGATAAAGTCAGTATCATACCTTCTGTTGTACAAACCAAGGGGCAAGAACGGTCCCTCAGGGCTCTCAGTGGGCAAAGCCCAGGTGGCTTCAAGAGCAGAGGGGTAGAGGCTCACTAGATGGTTTCTATTATATTGGGGGCCACTGTGTCCCCACTGCTCACAATGCTGGCACTGAACCCTTCTGAAGGCTGACCTTGCCAACTGCTGCTCACAAGCTGCATCAAGTCAGAGCACAGCTTATTTATTGATGACACTGCAGAAGCAGGTATCCTGATAATCAAATAAAGCTAACTAAATTAAAAATCAGAAACACCCCTACGGAGCAATGTCCCCACCCTTTCTTCCTGTCCCCTTTCTCTCCCCTCCCCTTTACTTCTCAGTCTTGGAACTAAGCATCACCCCAGCACATTCCAGCTCTTTTGCAGGCATTGTCAGTCTATGCAGAGGAAATCAGCCTCTGCTGTTTATTTAACCCCTTTCAGATGAACTATTAGTCCCTGCATTCAGCAAAATTCTCAGGCCCAAGTTATCTGTACACAGTCACACCAAAATATGCCTCATCCTCCTGCCTGTTGCTGCTGAATGCCCCCTCCAAGGGCTGGGCACCACTGGAATGCCACCTAATGGAAGCAGCATGGCAGCTTCAGCGTGAGCAGCAACCTCAACGGTTGTGGTCAGGGGCAATGTGTGCAGTGTGGAAGTTGTGCCTGTATCACCCAGAATTTCCCCATGCCACACACGGTTCTGTGTATTTACCAGAGTCCTCACTCACTTCCCCATTGCGTACACAGAGCAGGCACTTACAACCAGCTCACACAACTGAAGGGCTTGGCTCCTTGAAACTTTAAAACTTGTAATGAGCAGTACAGCTGGGAAGCTGAATGCCTTCCAGACCCTCTGGGGAGGGCAGGACTTGAGTAAATTCCCAGCCCTTCTGCTGCCGAGATGTGCTACCCATCTAGGCACTCCGTCTTCCAGAATCCCAGCTTCCACACTGATACAATGAGGATAACAGACCCTACTGCACAGGATTATTCTAAGGACAGAGAGAGATAATACAGATGGAGCACTGGACTGTGCTGGGCTTGGGGCAGGTGCACACTAATAGAATTCCTTCTCTTCAGGTCACTGACATCTCCATAGACAGTTCTTAATGATAAACTCTTGAGCTCTCCCCAAAGGGTGCATTATCTTATTTAGAATCTTTAAGCATGGCATATACTACAGTTGAGTAAATATTCACTGCGATCTCAAAATGTATAAAACAAAGAAACCGTATAGATGGAGTTACTTATTTCTAGTTCATATTTGTCAAATAGAAGAGAATGATTTTTTTTTCCAGCGAGCACTGATCCTTAGTGTTGGCAGCTAAAGTTTCAAGTGACGATTCTTCCCATGTGGGCTTGTTTGTCACGGCAGGCTAAAGGCAAAGGGCTGAGAAAAGACGGCAGGAAGGCCCTTCCAGCTAAGAGTTGTGGTATAAAGTCACTGTGAAGTGTCAGTTCTGGGGAAATCATTTGGTAACTGGCTTCTTTCCCAGAACTGTTTCTGGTGGATCTTTCCTGAAGGTAGGAATGGGCTTCCAGATTATGGCCAATGAAAAACCTAGGATATTCAACCCATATCCAAGGACAGATTTTAAACTACTTTCAGACAGTCAGCAGGAACCTCCAAATTTTCAGACATTCTCTGTCATCTGTCTAATATTTCCACATCTTTCAGTATAATTAGGAGGAAAGCAAAATAGAAGATGGTAGTTGGGACAATCCCCCAATAAGAGGATGAAATGTAATACATCATCTTCTATTTTTTTTTCCTTCTGAAATGCCCTGGTCAAAAATGTCCCTTCTCACCTTTCTACAGAATTGTAGGAGACTCTGGAGAGCTAAATCCTTTATTTTCTCCCCATCTCATCAAGCCACAAGTTAAAGTTCAAATCCAGGCCCCAGAACCCCAGCAGGTTAAGAGAGCCTTGTGGGAAAGGAGCCCACCTCCCACCTCTCCCAGCAGCGTTTGCTGGTTTATCATCCAGCCATATTGGTCCAATTTAAAACATGGCTTCACCATTAGTGTCACTTTAGATAAAGCTGATAGGAAAAAATCTGTCCCAGTTCAAATCATGATTTCCAAGGACCCTAGAGATGAATGAGCCTCCCTCTGAATCTCATGAAGAACTAGAAGAAGCCGAGGGGAACCCCACCTCATGCCCTCTTTACAGATGAGACAGTCAGGCCCAGGAAAGGGACAGGGCTGTCCGTATGCCACTCAGCTACTGAGCTGATGAATTACTTTATTCCTAGAGAAAGACTTTGATGCTGAGGAAAGTGTGACTTGTTTAGCTCCTGCCGCAGTTAGGTCTGTGTCTCCAACAGCAAAGGAAAAATAAACACATCTCTTGCTGGGTCATCATCTTAAACCACTGCTAAAAGAGGACTCAAAACTGCTCCTGATTCTTTCTTCCTGTTACATACTTCCATGAAAATCGACACATAGTCACTTCTTCGTAGACTGTTGCTGTCAGCTCTCAAGTATTCTGAGCACTGACCATAGCCTGCTAGAGGGTTTCCAAATGCAGTAGCTGGGCAGCTCCTGAGTCGTTTATATTTACAGTAGGGGGTGTTTAGTGGATCTGCAAACTCTTTCTGAGTTAGTAATTTGCTCAGTAATCATCTTTTAATATCTTTACAAAATGTTGAACCTAAACAGCAACACTGCCAAAAATTAGTTTAAAGAAAGCTTTCTCTTAATAAATTAAGTCCTGCCCCTTCCCTCTCAGTTTGCTACAAAGGAGGTACAGAAAACCGCACTGTCTGGGGCAAGCAGAATCAGAGAAAAGAAAGTGAAAAACCTTTCACCTTATCGTGTTGCCCAGGTACCCCCTCGCTCCCCAGGAGCCACCCACCTTCACTAGCCCGATGGTAGAGAAGAAGGTCAGGCCTGGAGGCAGAAGGGAGGGACAGAGAGGCGGCCTGCGTACCTTTCCGAGCCTGCTGGATGTACCTGGCCAGCAGCGCGCCCAGGTGTGCTCGGGGCTCGTCGTCCGCCCTCGGCACCGCCCTCAGCTGCCTGCGGGGCGCCTCCTCCGCCTGCTGCGCCCGAGGGCCCGTGGGGTCCGCGTGAGGCACCGGCTGCGCCAGGGCGCCCGCCGCCAGGACGGCCATCAGCAAGCACAGGCACACGCCGCGGTTCATGGCTGCGGGGAGCAGAGGGAAGGGGATGTGAACGAAAAGGTGCGGCATCCTGAGGAAGGTCGGACACCCAAGGTACAGAGAAGGGCGCTCAGCGCAAAGGCGCGGGACTCCGGATCCGCCAGCACTAGGGAGCCGGTGACCCCAGCACGCGCGTTCGGGCGCACCGCGTTCTCTTTGGGGTGAACCGCAGTCGGGGACCCAGGGTGGTGCGGGGGACGGAGAGAGACCCTGTCTTCTGCCCTGTTGAGCAGAAAGAATGTCTTCTGTTTTCCTTTAGTTTGAGGAAGTGTTACAGCGTCGTCTCTCTTCTCCTAACTGGAAAAACGAGATTAAAGACAGGTGAAAATTATCCGAAAGGGACGACTCTGTAGGAAAAGAAGGCACCTTACCAGAGAGCTAAGACGCTTCAAACCGGGAAATAAATGGTGAAAAACTGAGAAGCATTGTTTAAAGGATGAGACCAATACATAAAAGCCGCATTTTTCAAGTTTCCTCAAGGTGCAAATGGGAATTGGCAGTGAACAACTATGTAAAACACAGGCAGGGTTTTAAAAAAATCAGAAATCTGCGCTCAGTCCTCCGGCGTCCGCCAAGCACCGCTGCGTTTCAGATCCGCGCAGATAAAACACTGGGACAGTTCTATCCCCCAAACCTTGAGTTTTCCCGCAGTATTCAGAAAATGAATTGAAATTGAAAACCTCTCGGTAGTTTATTTGAAAAGATTGTAAAGTTCACTGGACCGCTGTATAACATCTAGCGAATTGCAATTTGCCGGCTAAGCCGAGCAAATAGATGCTCCAGCGTTGCCTGAGCTGGAGAACAAAGCAAGCGAGTAGAAGTCTGTAAACCAGCCCTACCCACCCAGCCCGCACTGCCCTTTGCGATTTGGAGAAATGTCTTTCGAGCTGTCGGAAAGAAGACACAGAAAACAGTAAAATGAAATGGAAGGGGAACAGAAGTGAAGAACCCTTCTTCGAGGACACTTGGATCCCTGAGAGCCGGGAACCTACCTTCGGAGTAGTACGCAGCCGGCTTCGCGTTCCAGCCAGAGCAGCCGGGGAGCTGAGCCAAGTTCAAGGTAGGCGGGCAGGAGGCTGCCTCTTAAATAGCCCCGCCTGAGTCGTTGGCCAGTCATCTGTTTACCCAGTACTGACGCAGAGGGGTAGCGGCACGTGCTCCGAGGGCGGCCGCCAGGGCGACGATAGATTGAGGTGGCTGCTGGGAGAGAGGGGGCAATGGCTATGTGGAGCCGGGTGGGTGGCGGGGTGGGTGGCGTTAGCCGCGTCTCGGTCGGGGGGGACTTCCTCCCCCAGCTGCGTGCACCCCCTCTCCCTTGCCCATTCTAGCGCGAAGCTCCCTGTCTTCAGGGTGGGAGACCTAGGCATGGGATTCTCCTGCGGGATGGAGAAGCTGCCCGCGCGCCTGTAGTTCGCTTTGGGGAGCAGAGGCGCCGGAAAGGAAACCGGGGATAGGATGGGGTAGCCCTAGACAGTCCTGGGTGTCAGCAAAGTGTAATTCTGAGATGGTGGAAGTGCCGGCCCCTCTTGGAGCATCCCAAGCTGCTCTGGTCTTTCAACTTTGTTCTCAGCCCCTAGATCCCAGGATCCCGAGGTCAAGGCTCCCTGGGTCAGCGAAAGGGCTCCTCCACGGCTGGCTGCGGGCGTCGCGGACTCTGCTTTACGTAGCTGTAAAATGAGGATGAGGCTATTGGGCTTTGCCCGGAGTTTGGGAAAGGGCTGTGTTTTCTTCCAAGCGGAGCTACGTTCTGCCCGCGGCGCCCGCAGCTCCTGTCGCCAAGCGGCGCCAGCGAGTGTCCCCAAAAGCCCCCCAGTCGCCGTTACCCTCTGGCATCGGCATCCGCCAGTCCCATCTTCCCCAGCTTTCACACTAGGGCCGGTCCCCGCCGTCTTTGAAATAAAGAACTCGCTCTGGTCACTCACCCCTTCCCCCCCCCCCACCCCCCAGTGGGGACGCGGGAGGCGCCGCGGTAGCTGTGCGCCCTTCCCTGCGGGGTCGCGCCCCTGGCCAGTGCGCCCTAGGGGTCTACAGCCACCTCCGCCCTGAGCCGTTTGGGTTAGAGTCAGCTAGTTAGTGGTCCAGTTCTCCCGGGGCTGCGAGTTTACTGACAACCCCAATTCAGCAACCAGGGAGTGAGCAGAAGCAGCTCCTGGCCAAGGCTTCTCCACAGGTCCCTGAAGCCTCAGCGGACTGAGACCGTCCAGCCTGAGGCTTGAGGGCAGCAACCCGCCACTCCCGCCTTTCCCCTTTCTGGAGAAAGGTTTGGATCCGATTCTTTCAACCCAGAATCTGTACTCAGCTCCTGGGGTGCTGGGACTGTTCCTGTTGAGGTGGGTGGGGAGCCAAGGGTGCTTGGTGGGGAGATGCCTCTGATTGCTGTCCCCCTTTTCTAAACTCTAGAGGCTGCTGCATTTCTGCAATCTAAAGGCAACGTTTAGTTGCAGGTTAGATGTGTCCCAGTGGTTTTCCCACGAGGCTACTGTGTAGTTCACTTGGTGAAACTCATTTTATTTGTGTCTGTGGTCAAGGCATGTCTGAGAACATGAAGTTGTTAAGGAGCATAATCACCTAAGGGGCTTGCTCAAACACCTCCCAGAGTTTCTGATTCAGTAGGTCTGAGGTGGGGCCCAGAAACCTGCATTTCTAATGATTTCCCTAAGGCTACTGCTGGTGCTGATGGTCCCCTGACCACACTTTGAGAACCACTGCTATAGAATTTCTTTAGGGTAAGCCAGTTACTGAACTCCCTTCTCTCCATCCATTTAGTTAATATTTATTGAACACTTTTCCTCCTGTATTTTCATTTTCTCACTTCTGGTATCATCTCCCTAATAAATCATGTGCCCCCAAGGTTTTGTCTAATTTCAGCATAATCCTACCGAGGACACCAACTGTCTATCAGACACTGTTGGGATACAATAGGGAGCAAAACAGGCAAAATGCCTGTATTCGTGGTGCTTCCATTCTAGTCGGGGAGACAGAAAATAAATGCCACATGATGTGGCATTTACTTTCATCCAGGAAATGGGAAGGGTGGGAACCACATCCAGATGTGTCACTGTAGACAGCAGAGGTGAGTGAAAACCTGTAACTGTTTTCTGGTTTGGAACCGAGAAATTTCCATCTAATTGTGCTGAAAATAATTTAACTGAGATCCCACTCAGAGTTGGAGAGGCATCCCCCCAAAGCAGCCCTTGAAACAGGGATGTGACAGTTTCCATGCAGGATTTTTTTTTTAAACCGTGGGAAGTATCCCAAAGACATATGTCCATTTTGCTCTTGTAGAAAACTGAGTGGAATTTCCAGGGACACACTAGAGCCTCCTACTTTATTATTCATGGAATTTAAACTTGTTACAGTGATCTCCATTTAAAGGAGGTCAGGAGATTGTTTGCAGTGATTAGAAATGTGCTTGAAGTCTTGTGTTTGGGATCTTGAATTTTTTTCCCCCTTGAACTTGTATAGCAAATGCCATTATTTGTCCTGGAATTTCCCAAAGGCCCACGTCGCCAATGTCATCTGCAATTATATGGAGCAATTTAGCAGAAAAGAAAGAAGGAGCTGTGGTTATGGTGAACCATTTCCTCTTACTAATGATGAGTTCCCTGATAATCTCTTAAGATGAGGTGCTCACAAAAGCAAGGCTGAGACAACCTGGGTGCAGGGAGATTACTTGGGAGTGATCTCAGGGAAGGAGGAGTAAGGGAGCAGGAAAGAGAGAGGAGGAAATCAAGTGCATGTTAACGAGGAGGATACTGTTGTGGACTCAATCCCATCACGGTCTCTGTGAGATAACCCAAAGTACACATCTCACCAGCACCCCCAAGCCTAGAGGAACAACAGCTCCTGAATAAATATTTGTTGACTGAAGTCTTCATCTCTTTGACCATCGTATCTGCCAACATGCCAGAGGATAGGAACCATGATTTAGTCACCCAATGCAAGGGTTATCCTGGACACATGCTAAGTGATCAATACATGTCCACCGAGGAAACAACTCTTAGTTCAGTTGACTGGATTGACTAGATGTATAGTAGTGAGTGAAAAGCCATTTGTTGGGCTCTGCCTGGGTCTTGGACTCTCAAATAGCCACAAGAATCAGTTTTAACACAATCTCTTTTAGCCAGGGATATAAGAGCCCCCAGAAATGAAAGGTCATCTCCTGAATAGATGACAGGAAAGAGGAGAGGTCAGCGGCCAGCCCATTGATCCTCACATGCAGAATGAGCCTTTGCTTTTCAAACCAATCCTGAAAAGCCAGCAGGAATGGTAGTTGCCAGGGAGACCATCCACCAGTGTCGTCAGGTTTGTCTTTAGTGTCACTTTCCTTTGTAGAAGTATTAAGAGCAGCCTCTATTGTCCATAGCTGGGAAAAGTTAACAAACAGGGAGGCGTAAGTTCTTTCAGGGGAAGTCTGAAGTCTTTGTGGTCCTGCTGATACAGATTCCCTCTGAAGAGGAGCCTCTTGCAGCGAAGGACAAGCATATGTCCCTGCAACGTCCCAGCCTCCAGCAGAGACATGTCCTACCTACCACCCTGGTTGCTGCATTCGCCCTCCTCTAAATTAACGCCGGAGGACATGGCTGTTGCTGGACAGCCTTATCAGGGAAGGTTCTTAGTTTTACCAATTCAAGTGGTTATTAAATTCAATAATAGGCCTAAGTGCACATAACTCAAAAGCTTATTAATTTAAAGGTAGAAAAGGCTATATAGTTAAAATGAAGTCTCCTGCTCACCCCTGTTCCTCCCCAGAGGCAAGGAGTGCTTCTAGTTTCTAGTGAATTCTTCCACAGAGAATCCATGAACATACAAACAAATCAAATGTGTCAAACACACACACAAATAATTTCCACTTGGAAGCACATAATATGCAATATTCTCTGCTTGGCTTTTTTAATTTAAGATATGTATTAGAGGTCACTTTGTATTACTGGCATAATTCTACCTCAGTGTCTATAGAACACTCCAGTGGATGGATGTGCCTTAATTCATCTAGCCAGTGCCCTACTGATAAAAATTTAAATAGTTTCCAATATGTTCTAATTATAACTGAGGCTCCTTGAATGTATATCATACTGTTCATGCACAGGTTCCTAGAAAAGAAGTTGCTGAAAGAGTTTGTACACTTAAAATTTTGGTAAATATTGCCAAGTTACCCTTCAGGCAATTGTTCCCAGCTGTCAAAGACAGCATATATATATTTTCTTGTTTATCAATGCTTCAGCTCTAGATGCTTGGCCAGCTCCCCAGCCAAGCTCACTGCCTGAGAACATTAGTTCTGAGGTGGTAGAGAGTGGACCCTACTAAACCACTGAGTTTAATCTCTGGGTCACCGTTCTGTTTGAAAATCTGTGTCCTGTGTGTGTAGAGGGCAAAGGATGGGTGATACTTCTCAGTGTGAATGACACTGCTCTCTAAGTGACATTTTGGACATTTACGAAGAATTTTGGGGTGAGCAAAATAACAAGTGGTGCCCTCTGGCATTTGGTGGGAGGGTGCCAGAAGGCAGAGTGTCTGGCCACCTGCTAGACGGACAAGTACATAATGTTCGATGACCCCCTGGGTATTCACATGTGGAAAAGCTTGTCTCTAGTTATTCACGACTAGAAGCTAATTTCATGTAACTTAAGTAAAAAGCATTTTGGCGCAGTTTTAACATAACTTAACTTTCCAAGAATGTTAAATCCACTAAGGATCGTACTTCATTTTGTTTGTGGTTTTAAGAGTAAGTGGCCACCATTCTGAAAACTCATGTTGCCAGCCCCAGCATTGCTTGTGGTGTTTGAGTTCACACCTCTATTGGCCTGTGTATTGGCCCACTCACAAAATCCTGTGCTTATGTTATCTAACTTTTATTTCAAGTTATCAAATGTAAAGGGAAAATGTCTGTAAAATTCAGTTGCAACCTGGGTTGCTTATTTTAAATCCACACTTATTCATTCTAAGTAAGTATAAACATCTGACAACCGTCTTCTAGTTAGCTGTG